GAGAGAGAGAGGGAGAGAGAGGGAGAGAGAGGGAGAGAGAGGGAGAGAGGGAGGAGCGGTGACGGAAGGAGGGGACGTCAGTGGCGGCGAGAGGCGAGCGAAGGCAAGAGGCCGCCGCCGACACGGAACAAAGGACCAAGGGCGGAGGGGGGAGGGGAGCAGGCGAATGGATAAGCATGTGCGGACCTCGCGCTCGATCAAGAAGGACATCAACGGCACGACCAGCGACATGAGGATCACGAGCAGCAGCGAGGGGAGGTAGTTGTTGAGCAGTGACTCGATGTTGGGCCCGAGCAGGTCCAGGAGATCGCCGATCCACGCCAGGGCCGGGGAGGACTGCGACAAGCTGCGCAAGTGCCCAAGACTCTGGACAAAGGCCACCGGGATGGCCCAAAAGAGGATCAGGAAGACAAACACCCCGAGCGAGAGGATGCGCCGAACCATCAGGGCCAGGTTGCCGTACGCCAGCGACCGCCAATCCAGGTCCGTGCGATCCGGGCCCCCGGTCAGGGTGACACGGGTCCGAGCAGTGCGTGCATCGGTCGGGCCCATCGGCGGCGAGGGGGCCTCCTGCTCGACGGTGCCACTGCCAGGCGCCTGGTCAAGGGGCTCCAGGCGAATGCTAGCCAGCTCGATGGCCGAGCCAGCAGTCCCGGCCGAGCCCAGACGCGGTGCCGGGCTCTTGGCCTCGCTGCCAGCCGGCAGACCATCGGCATCCGAGTCGCTGGCATCCAGCGGGTCGCACAGGCTGCCAGCCATTTCGGCCAGGTCATCGGGATTGGCCGCAATGTCCATCTCCAACAGACTGGCATCGAAGCCACCGCCGCCAGGGACTCCCCGGGGGGACAGATACCCGCGGATGCCCTCACGAATGTCCGCACCCGTGTCCTGGGGATCGGCGAAGCTGCCAGCACCCTTGGTCAGCCCGCCGGGAGTGGGGCCGGCGGCCGTCACGGCCGGAGGCCCGGCATGCTGCACATCGCCGTCAGCACCGGGCTCAATGGCATCCGGCTCGTCCAGGATGGAGTCCTCGGCGTCGATGGCCAGCCAAGCGCGCAGATCGGCATCCAGATGCCCGGCAGCACGCAGGGCACTCAACGCCTCGTCCAGAGCATGCTGGGCGGCGGCCGCACGGGCCCGTGCCCGGAGATCCCGCTGCCGCGCCCGTTCCATCATGGCCGGGGTGAAGTGCAATGTCAGGGCCCCAGAGGGCAGGGTGTTACCGCCGGCGGTGGCAGTCAGCAGGCTGGTGGCCATCACCCGCAGGGCATTCTGCCGGTCGAGGATGGCATCGGCCAGCGCCCGAGAGCTCAGCACGAACATGGCACACCCGAGCGGCCGGCATTGAGGGCGTGCCTGGCGCTTGGCGATGGCCAACTGCACGGACAGCAGCCGCACGCGCAGGTTCGATTCGCTGTCCACCTTCTGGCCGAAGATGCCCAGGAAGCCGGTCCTGTGTTGGACACGCGGGGCCCCGGATGACAGGCCGGCTTGCACGCGTGCCAAGTGGGCGGCTGTCAACTCGGCCGGTGTCATGGCCGAGCCGTGGGGCTCCCCCAAGGGGGTGACCTCGGCGCGGTCGATGGAGTGTGACTGGCCCAAATGGTGGGCCAGACGCCGGGCATTACGGTCTACCACCCGGCGGAGGCGATTCACCAAGAACTGCTCATCCCGGCGGAGGGCCTCCAGCCGCGGGTCATGGCGAGGCAGGGCCACGGCGCGCACATCATCCGGCGACACCTTCAGAAGGGGACCATCCCCATGGCCGGCCTCCAGGTCGCCCGGCGATTCGGGAGTCAGCCGGCGCATCAGCAAATCGGCGAAGGCATCCCGCAGCAGGGCCCGCTGCGCCGTGATGGACATGTCCCGCGCGGCGGCCGGCACGGCCACCCGCTGGGCAAAGAGCGACCGAGTCGGCGTGGCATCGATGTACTCGGGTGTCCCGGGCGGATGGCCATCCCCGCGAGCGAGATAGGCCTTCCGCAGGACGTGATAGTGCAAGTACCGCCGGTAGGCCCAAAAGACCAGGGCCACGGTTAGCAGCAGCAGCGAGACAATGTGAGCTAAGCCCGCGGCCAATGGGGGACGTGCGTGCGCGCGTGCGTGTGCGCCGGGGAAATGGTCAGCCACGGGTCAAAGAGGCGGGCAGGGGGCGGCGATGGGCGCGCGCGCGCGCGCGCGTACCCCATAGTAAACTCGAGCCGTAAGGAATGTTGGCCATGGATACGATGTCCAGGCCAGACACATGAAAGGGATCATTTTCGGGGAGAGACTTGTTGGTGCCGGCCGAATTGATCGGCATAGTGACGATCTGGGCAGCGAAAGGCAAAGGAAGGGAGGGAGAGAGAGAGAGAGACAGAAGGGGGGAACGTCAGGGACAGGAGACTGTGAGTGTGGGGCTAGAGGGACGCGGCACAGCACGAAGGCAGCCGGCGGGCAACACATACGAGAGAATAGAGCAGCAGTCCCCCAAAGAGCAGGGCACAGTCGTGCACCCAGTCCATGTACAGGTAGGTGTCGAGGCCGCGTCGACGCCGGTACCATGCGAGAGGGGTTGTCAGGACGGGCCGCACCCAGCCGAAGAAGCCAACCGGCGCGGAAATCGGATCTACATGGGACAGGTGTCAGTGACCGGCATGGTGCATGGGGGGCGTGTGCCGGCAGGGGTGAGGCGCCAAGCGACGGACCTGGGATCCCGCGGTTCTGTTCCTCGGCCACATTCGGCGTGAAGACCGCCGACCAGTAGGGCCGAAGCAGCAGCCAAGCCGTGGCAATCACCAAAGCGATTGCGGCATTGGTCAGGAAGGCGAAGGCCAATGCCTGGGAGGGGTCCTCCTCGGTGGATCCATCGGAGGAGGAGGCGGAGGAGGCGGATGGGGTTGAGCCGGAGGCAGGCTGCGAGGCAGCGGATGAGCTAGCCTCCATGGCAAGGGCCGGACCGATGGCCAGCATGGCGATTAACGAAGCGAGCAGCATCAGCAGCGACGGGGATGGCCGCGGCTGGCTGGGTACCCCGACCGGGCAAGCCATGTCGAGCAGCCAGGGAGTGGGGAGCAGGGACACCAGAGCGCTGAAGGGAGAGACGGAAAGGCAAACCAGCCGGTTGTAGTCCCGTTTCCCTTCAGGGTATTGGGAGGAGGAGGAGGAGGAGGAGGAGGAGGAGGAGGAGGGCACTTGGGGCGAGGAGGGGGGGCAGGTATGGGGGAAGTGGCGTTTGGGAGGAGGGGGAGGGGGTGAGGAAGAAGGTGTCATAGACCAAGGGGGGGGGGCGTTGAAGAGTGCACTCGATACCCTCTTTAATGATGTCTTCGGAGCCGGTCGCATGCACAATGCGACTGTGTAAGCCCGGGGGGGGGGGGCACGGGCCGCGCGCATCTCCCCCCCTCCTGCCCACTCTACTCCGGCGAAGTTGCAATTGCAGTTGCAGGAGGTCCGATCGCGTCATGCGGATGCCACCCAGTCAGGCGCGTCCAATCTCGGGGGACGGGGGCCAGACATATGCGCGCGCACACACACTCGCCTGCACATACACGTAGACGCGTGCGTATTTTCCCATGCCTCGAGGGTGCGGGTGGAGTGGGCGGAGGGCCGAGCGCAGGCCTCGGCCAACATGCCCCGGGGCGCCCCGCGTGAGCCGGCCGCCCCGACCGAGTCATGGGCGTGCAGGGCCCACCGCTGGCAGGCGCCGGGGTCTGTTCAACCACTTTCCTTGTTCTGTCCGCGCGCAGGCGAAAACGTCGCGATCTGTTTGCACGGCCGCGGGCAGTGGCGTGCGGTCTGGCACCGCGGGGCCGGCGGACATCTGGCTGCGTGGGGCGAGGGCACTTCTCCGGAAGCCAATCTCCCTCTCGGGGCCGGGTGAAACACCCAAGATCTGCGACCAGTGTGGCCCGAAAGCCGCGCAGTACCGGCCATCCGGCCGGCCGGCCGACCAACCGACCGACCGACCACGGCCCTGGCCCGGGGATAGTAGTGAGTGGCGCAGAGCCCCGGACGCAGATACGCGCCCCCTCTCTATGGTCGAAATTTCGCCCCCCCCCCTCGTCTGCAGTGTGAAAAGCGCAGATCGATCGGCGTGACTGAGGTCATATGCATGTGACCAGGAGGTGCCCCTAACCCGAGGCCCTTTTTCCCGCTCACCCCCAGGGCGGCAGACCTGCCTGTTTCCAGCCCTCCACCTTCCTCCGCGCTCGCACGTACTCTCCCCCTCTCGCTCGGTCCCCTCCTTCGTTCCTTCTCCTGGACCAAGTGTGTCACCCCCTCTTCCTCGACCGGGATATCACCGAATGGCACCGTCGCCGGATTCTGGTGGCCCTCCGCAGGATGCCATCCTGCGCATCTGTGCGCGAGTGAGATTCCTGCTCGCGCTGCTCCTCGCCTGATTGACTCCTGCCTTTCCCCTGCTGACCCTTGCGCCTGCATCTCCGTTCCTGTGCCGATCGCCCAGTGAACGCCGCAAATGACTTTGATGGCGGGCATTCCGAGACCCCTGCCGAGTCGGTCGAAATAAAGCGGGTACGCCCATCCCCCCCCCCCCCCCCCCTCTCCCCGGCCCTGCCGCCGGTTGCCCTCCTTCTCATGTGCTGATGCGCCTGCCACTCATTCACTCTCATTTGCCCGGGCCATGTCCCCGCACACACTTTCAGGACCCCATCCGGCCGGCCATGAAGCCGCGCGTGCTCACCCGAAATGACCCATGGGATCGCGATGAGCTGTCCCAGCTGCTGCTGATCATCCAAGCGCTGGGGCTTTCGGCTGAGCAACTCACGCCAATGATCATCCACGGTGCGCGAAGCCCCGCCTGGCCTCCGTTGCTCCCTGTGCCGGATGCTGATGCCCTCCTGCCGGCTTCACATGCGAAGACCAAATGCCCGTCCTGGTTGAAATGTGCGAGCTTCTCCTGCCAGAGCGCGCGCCAGCCGACTGCCTACAGGCAATCTGCTCGATCGAAATCAAGGAGTACGTCTTAGCCACCCTGCCAAGCACTACAGCCACCAGTGGCTCACCATCCCGGCCATTTGCCCGCCGCCCATCTGGCCAGACTCCTGGCGGAGGCCCTCGCCTCCCAGACCAGCCTTGATCGGTGGGCCGATACAACGCCAGTGCCTCCGGGCGCCGGTTGGCAGCCTGGTCGGCCGCGTGTCCGCCGGCGATACCTCTCCCTGGGCCGAGATATGGCCGCCGATGGGGTGTGCACCGAGAATGCCGACATCCGGGGGGCCGATGTCTGGGCCCGCCAATGTCTGGCCACCAGCGAACAGGGAGAGGATGTCCAGCTGGACTTGGCCGGGATCTATGGATGCCTGGCCTTCGAGCTGGCTGGCGGCCACCGGGGAAATTAGAGGTATGGTGTATTTTGTTGAGGGAAAATAAAGACAAACAATTCCATGAAACTGCAGCTGCACCTGGAACAAGTGTGAAGATCGGTGGGAAAGAGAAAGCCAGAGAGGCACGACAAGGACAGACAAGACGGCACTGCGCAGACGGCGGGCCGGGGAAACTGGATAGAAGCTCCGCGCACTCATGCGCACGTGCCATACAGAGGTGGCGAGAGGTGGAGAAGGCGTGTGTGTGTGGGGGGGGGGGGGGGAGAGGAGGGAAGGCGTGGAGAGGCGCGGCGTATTTACTGGCCATAATCGTTGAGCGCGATCGAGGTACATCCCTTCTCGTGTCCAGTGTATGTGCGGATTGTCTCGCCGGTTGACAGGTCCCACAGCCGGGCGGTCTTGTCAGAGCTCGCTGAAAGAGAGATCAGCAACAGCAGCAGCAACAGCAGCAGCAGCAGCAGCAGCAGCAGCAGCAGCAGCAGCAGCAGCAACAGCAGCAGCAGCATCGGCAGGATGGAGTCAGTGACGGGCCTCACAAGCAGGAAACATGGGCGAGCATGGGGAGCGCAGCCAAAACATACCGGTGACAAGGTAGGCAGAGTCAGCACTGAATGCGCAGTCCCAAACCCAGCGCCGGTGCCCAGTCAGCGGCGGCCGGACCTGGGTGAAGTTGTTGGCCACGTCAAACAGACGGACAGTATGGTCGGCCGAGGTGGTGGCCAGATACCTGTTTCAGGTGGTGGCGCCCCAGGCAAGCGGGCGAAGGACAAACGCATGAGCACAGGGCAAAGGCAAGTGGGAGAAGGGGCATGGGAAGGAAGAAAAGGACACGGGGCACTGTGGCCCGGCCGGAAGACCACGCAGGGACATACCTCACATCTGGGCTAAACAGGCACCGGAGGATGTACCGGTTGTGGGCCTGAACCGCGGCCAGGGGGATGAGCTCCGCCGCTTCGGGCGGCTGGTCTGGCAGGGCCATAGCCTGGGGAGGGCGCTCGTAGAAGCGCCAGACATATGTCCGGCCACCATCATTGGCCGCGGCCAGGTGCGCGCCATCGGCGCTGATGTGCAGCGAGCGAATGGGCGTATGCTCCTCCGGGACCTGATAGGTGCAGGAGGAAGGACATGAGGGAGGATGCCCAATGCGCGGACAAGGTGGTTAGCAAGCCCCGGGGGAGGAAAGGAAAAGGCCAAGACCCGGAGGAGGAGGGGGAGGAGGAGACAAGGCCAGCCGCCACCGACGCCCTCGCCCATGCCCCTCCCCCTTGCGAGAGCGCGACGTACCAGCTCATGCGAGCAGGCGTTCGCTGTCAGGTCCCAGATCTTGATGCTGCCGGCCTGAGTGCCGCTAGCCAGCTCAGCCTGATTCGGATGCAGGACGACCGAGTTGACCGCGCCCCCGCGGTGGGAGTAGTTGCGCTGGCAACCGGCGCTCGGGGCACCGCCGCCGGAGGCCCCGGCTCCGCTGCCGCCGGAGGAGGCCCCGGCCGCGCTGCCCGGGGGCGCACGCAAATCCCACACGCGCACCGTGCCATCCTCGCTGCCGGTAAACATCCAGGCGCCATCGCGCTGGAAGCCGAGGGCCGTGACATTCGCATTCGGGTGTGCGGCGTCCAGCGCCAAGATCGGGCTGTTGGTCGGATGGACGAGGTCATACAGGCGGACCGACCCGTGGCCGGCGGCCGCCAGGAACCGCTTGTCGGTGGTGATGGCCAGAGCATTGACGTGCTGGCGTGGCGAATGGATGTCATGTTAGGAGGGGGATGAGCGGGGGCGGCCACTTCCCACGCCGGTGGGGGAAGGCCGGAGGGACAGGGCCCCGACGGAGGGAGAGAGGGAGGGAGGGAAAGAGAGAGAGAGAGAGAGAGGGCGATCGGGCGTACGGAGTTCGTGTGCTGGATGGTCCGGTAGCAAATGCCGCTTAGGGCCTCCCAGAAGCGGATTTTGTCGCCGTAGCCGGCCGTCGCAAGGATGACGGCATTGGCGTCGGCCGCCGGCGCGGCCGGGACGTGGTGGGCGTGGTGCCCGACGTGGTGCCCGACGTGTGCCATCGCGTGAACGGGGGCGAAGGGGGGGGGAGGGGGGGGGGGGGCGCGAGGGCGGGAGAGAGGAGCGGAAAGGAGAGGGGCGTGTGCGGGTGCCGAGGGGAGACGA